TATATATATATATATACGTGTATATATATATATGTATATATATATTCATAAGATTAGTCGCGTATGTGTACATAATTTTGCTATCAGTCTGTTTTGGATACTTCCGTTGCTACTAGGACTTCTCGCTCCCGTACAGTTCGCTATTCTCATCTACCTGCTTTTCTGTGTTGGTGCTTTAAGGCGTCGTTTTTCTCTCACACTGTCCAATAAACGACCCTGCAGGTGACTGTGTCGTATCCTGGAGCCATGCTGAATCTGCTTGTACATAAGCATTTCACCAATCATCAATATCAGGATTTGGTTGACAAGGACAAATTAACCTACAGCACCAAAAGGTGGGCGTGGTGATTTCATTTGGTTTCATCCAGATATATTGATATATTTAGATTTTATATTGAATGATATCTTTGGCTTTTACTGTTCGATGATATCTTTGGCATTTGTGTTGAATGATATCTTTGACATTTGATTGGTCACTCGTCCATGTTTGGTTGGCGTGGAGTGCTTCCCGGTCTTCTGATTCGTCCAAAGAACGGCCGTTGTGTGTCGCATGCGAGCACTGGCCTATACATGCATAGCAGCAATAGCTAGCCTAACGTAATCCACTTTACACTATGCATGCACACAACGGGACAATCACTAACATTGAAGTGTCCGTTGACTATTGGTACCTGTGCAGTACAGTCACTAACATTGAAGCGTCCGTTGACTATTGGTATTTACTACCATTGAAGCGTCCGTTGACTATTGGTACTTACTAACATTGAAGTGTCCGTTGACTATTGATATTTGGCATATACATGCACAGCAGCAACAGCTAGCCTAACGTAGCTCACTTTACACTATGCATGCACACAACGGGACAGTCACTAACATTGAAGTGTCCGTTGACTATTGGTACCTGTGCAGTGCAGTCACTAACATTGAAGCGTCCGTTGACTATTGGTACTTACTAACATTGAAGTGTTCGTTGACTTATGGTACTTGTGCAGTGAGAACTCCATTTTCTTTGAAGTGGATGGGCCCTACAGAGCGATGATTCTGCCGTCGTCAACGGAGGAGGATAAAGTATGTGCCTCGGAGAGTGTATTACACATATGTAGCCATAGTATGTTATATATATGCAATGTGTATCGGGAATTAACGTTTATTATGGTATATATATGCAAGGTGTATTGGGAATTAACGTGTATTAAAAAAAAATCAGCCGTCATAGTATGTTCTAAATATGTAATGGGTATTGAGGATTAACGTGTATTGTACGCATGCAGCTGTAGTGTTATATATAGGCTTGGTGTATCGGGAACTAACCTTTATTATACAAATTCAGCCATCATAGTATGTTGTATATATGGAATGTGTATCCGGTATTAACGTTAATTGTACAAATGCAGCCATGGTATGTTATATATATATGCAAGGTGTATCATGAATATATGAGTATTATATATATACCGTTTCTGTGTGTGCCTGCGTATGTGTCTAAGTGCATAAGTACAACATGCATGCATGTGTGTTGTGTACATGTATACATCATCTCCCACTTATCTTCTCTCCCTACCCCTGCATTACCGCATTCTTCTCAGTTGCTAAAGAAACGATACGCCGTTTTCAACCACGATGGCTCGTTAGCTGAGCTCAAGGGATTCGAACTTAAGCGCAGAGGTGAGCTGCAGATCATCAAGTCATTCCAGGAACAGCTGTTTGCCAAGTTTTTAGAGGTGTGTGGACGCATGCTATTACTGTCTTTATCTGAGTACATGCACACGCACACACACACACACACGCACACACACACACACACACATATATATATATATATA